GTCGCCACAGTGTAACTTTAACGCTGTACAAATGACACTGAGGGTGCTTGTATTATCCTGAAGGGGTTTATTTTGTGATGGTGACTGATCAACTTTGTTCCGCTTATTTCATTGCCACTTTCTTAAAGCTGCAGTCCGTAATTATTATTTTTTTGGTTAAAAATGATCTGAAATCAATATTTGAGCAAGTGCATAACTAGCCAGTGTTCAAAACGATCACCTTACTTTAGTCAGTTTCACAGCGGTTAACTTATAATAATGTTTTCTAATTTGAGTGGCAGGGGTAGGTTTTCCCGGAAATTCGAGCATGCTGCGTCATTACGTCACGTCTGTAAACATAAAGAAGTTGTCCCGGGCCGGATCCTGCAGTTGGCAGACGGTTATAGCCTTTTCTCACAGCAGCTAGAATAATTACATTAATCATTTTGATGGCGGATTGTAATCCAGAAAGTATTATATGTTTATGAAACATATGTGAATGCAATTAAATTATATTCCAGTTTTAAATGTGCTTCTGATTACAGATAGCCTGGAATTACACAAGATTTGTATTTTAAAGACAACCAGTTCGAAGGGAGCATAATTTGCTTTTTGAGTTCAAATAATTTCTTAATATGAAATTCGAATGGCATGACAATTAGAGATTAGACTGTACAGAAATTGAAATCCACTCGCTTATACACACTATATTCACGTAATGCTGATGTTGTTAACATTAACAATTTGAGAATAAAGTATAACAATAATAATAATTTGTAAGGTTTGATGTAATATGAGCTAATTGGTTGCGCGATATATTGTAATGCTTTTTTCCTCAGTTGGTCAGAACAAACGTGGCAGACTTACTTAGCCTACTTGTTCAGATGACAATATACGGTGAAAAATCTTATTTGGGACATATTCCAAGACGTAGGCTAGAATCTGTGATTGCGAAGTACAGTAAATATCCACACCGGTGCGGTGACTGACAGCCACACATACTCTTCAGAACATTAGATTCATCAGCACTGGAGGCGAGCCGGAGCACAACCCACACAAGGGAGATAATTCCGCAAACAGCTGCAATTGCAGGTTTTCAAACAGAGATGGCGACAATGAGGCAAAACGTACGGACTGCAGCTTTAAATAACTTACATAGACATGAAATACTGATTTGAGTTGAAATTGTTGTATTATCCTACTTGTATATTAAAGTGCACACAAATAGAGCAACATCACACAAACAGAGCAACAACTTTACAATATTAACTGATTTATATCATTTTATATAGGCCTATTCATCCGCATCCAGGCTTTTTTATTTTTTATTTTTTGCTAAAATACATAAGCTACCAATATAACCGGAAATGTTATATTCCCTCTTATCCGTGTCTCTTACCAGTTTCTTGTTATTCTGATGTTTTCTTGCTTTTCTACCTGAGCTTCTATCCATAGTGTCGAATGATTACCATTTATTTAGCATGGAAGTATTGCCAAGGTATTTTAAAAGAACTGTGTTATTATAGCACATGTCCAAAAGAGTATGGAATAGTTTTGTGTTTTCTTGGTGTAGGAATTCAGGAAAAGGGTCAGCGTCACAATACGGCTGGATTGAGCAGTGTCTATAATTTAGATGAGAATGCCACTAAATATACAGTACAAGCTAATATATTTAATTTAATATCAAAAGTTACGAGCATTAACACAGTGTAATACTACAGTTCAATATCGATAATAGAATTGAAATTAGAAGTACAATTATGATGACTGGCCACCAGGTGTCGATGTTGTATAAATCTAGTTTTTGAGATTTGAACTGTTGAACAGTTTTTTTAATCCCCACAGTGTTATTTAGTGAAGTGAAGTGACATGTGGCCAAGTATGGTGACCCATACTCGGAATTAGTGCTCTGCATTTATCCCATCCAAAGTGCACACACACAGCAGTGAACACACACACACACACACCGTGAGCACACACCCGGAGCAGTGGGCAGCCATTTTTTGCTGCGGCACCCGGGGAGCAGTTGGGGGTTCGGTGCCTAGCTCAAGGGCACCTCAGTCGTGGGATTGAAGGTGGGAGAGAGTGCTGTACATTCACTCCCCCCACCTACAATACCTGCCGGTATGACCTTTGGGTTACGAGTCCGACTCTCTAACCATTAGGCCACGGCCAATTTTACAGTGTAGGTATTGTAAACATCATACAGTATAATCACACAAACAAACAATAAATAGCCTACATGCAGACTTACATAGTGGGTAATATGCCTCAGTCTCAGTGTCTCAGTCTCAATGTCTCAGTGGAACACCGGTCCATGAAAAAGTGAAGGTGCTCTTACTGTATTGGATGTGAGGATGTATTGCAGGCTATTGCATTGGATGTGAGGGTTATTCATGACGTTGAAGAGTTTGCACAGCATCTTCCTCTTGGTCACCACCTGAGTTCAGTTTAGCCCCCAGTACAGAGCCTGCCTTCCTCAGCGTTTTCTCTATCCCTTTGTCATCTTTCCCTTTAATGCTGTTTCCCCAAGACACAAATAGCACTTGCTACCACAGACCGATAGAACACATTTATTATGGTACCGTGGAACTACATAGTGCATATGTTGAATGACTTAAACCTTCTTCTTATTAAAATTATTTATTTTATTACTGTTTTTGTATTGTGTTTTTTATAATGATACTTGTTAATATTTAGATTATATTACTTGTATAATATAATAATATATCGTTTAATAATATATTATTTTATTTGATCTTAATTTATTTTCAAATTGACGACCCTGAGAACGCGCTGGGCATTGCGCGCTCCCGTACTGCCAGCCCGGTTTCCATCAGCTGTCCGTTTATTCATCTCTCTCTCTTTCTGTGCTTCCCGCCCACACACGTGCTCCCCTCTGCGTTCTGATTGGATGAGCAGGAAAGCGATGAGCTCATATTGGTTAAAAATAGCTTCACGCGCTGGGGCTAAAAATAGGCGCATATATAAACCCCGGCGTTTGAGCGAAACTTGCTGCACTTACGCAGCAGTAGCGGTGTAGGTTGAATCTCTTCGAGAGATAGAGAGAAAGAGAGGGAGCTTGCGAAAGGGCGGCGGTCCCTTTTCTCTCGGTCCCGTGTCACGGCGCAGTCTTTCACAAGACAGATAGAAAATGGCAAGATGTTCAGTTTTTCAGCCAGCCCGGGTCTGGGTGTTGCCCGCTGGGGCCTGGGGGTGGGGGCTGCATGAGCATTTCCTTCCTTCCTCAACAAGTCGTTTTTTTCTCCATCTTCAGTTAAATAAAAGCAGGCTGTATTATATTGCATAATATCCGAGAATTATCCACTACACTGTCATTAATCATATTGGTAAAGATGGTTTGGAGAATTTCATCATGCTGTTCTGAGTCTCGGATTATCCAGTGGGTGGCAACTCAAAATAATTCCAGTTCCTCTTCACTAAATTTTGATTTAGAAAGCTCTCTCAGTGTTAGCTGGAGTGCAGAGGCTTAGTCATCAGCGTAAAAACAGAACATACTGTTCACTGACAAAACGAAAGCAGGATTTCCACTTCTGTTAAAACTTTTTCATTCTAGTCATGTGAAGCAACTGTCTTGTCACCTATTAAGCCTTCATGACTCCCTAAGGCTCATTTTCCAGATAGATTCTATGAACAGATTATGATATGTAACCAATCTACATTTTGTTGGTGCGTAAATGGTTCCTGATTTTACACTAGGAACTGACTTGAGTTCTGTATTGTGTACATGTGTACAATTATTGGTGATAATGAAACAGCATAAATATCTACTCCACTTTTGCTGAAAAAAAGTCATACTATAGCTACTGTGTTAGGAATGGACCAAAATGTCATCATTCACTAATAATCTATTAATATGATGAAATCTATGGTACAGACTTATGAACTCTATGCACGATTGCTTCTGCAATTAGCCTTGATTATCACTGCAACATCTAGTGCAGCACAATGTTTGGAAATTATGAGTAAACTAAACAGAAAAATTACATCTCAAGGATGTGTCACAACACGACAGAGACAATATTGATGCAATCCACCTTTGCTCTAACGGTATTTAAAGCTTCTAGATCTCATAATTAAAATGTTGTTTTCATATAATGTACTAAAATATCACATTTACTATAGTTTAACATTTATTAGAAATAGAACAAATAGTTCTCTACTACCAGTTTGCTAGGTATAATACTGTGCCAAATTTTAGCAGAAATGCATAGGCAGGAAGTGTGCATGGAGTCCATTGATGTCTCTGATTAACACATGCTTTTATTTCATAAAAAAAAAAAGAAGTGTGAACATTCTTTAAAATGTCTACACTTTATGAATAGCAGGTTTGTAATAAGTAAATAACAGAAGTGTATTGTTTTGGTGGAGGGGAAACAATATGTTTTTTTTCTGTTAGTATCATTTACATTCTGCTATTTTCTGAAGGTTTACACATGAATCTGATCACTCTCTCACATACACACACAAGCACAGGGTTGCTCTTTATAGAACATCTTTTATTACACAAGATTACCAAGTCTAGTTTACAAATACAGTTTCCAGTCCTGAATGTGTGTACATATAAATACACACGTTCATATGTACAGGTATGTATACCCCTACCCACCCCATGCCCCTTTTTTGCTTTAAAAGAGCTATTTTGTACTTCTGTTCTAAAATCCCAATCTTGCCCTGATCTAAAAGAAAACCTTAAAATTATTTATACATACAGAAACAATCATGTTCAGCCCTGTTTCATGTTGCAGAAAAAAAGCCCAGCATATGAGGGATGGGCTGAAGTATTGATTGGCAGCTCACAGGATCACACCTGTCCAATCAGCCAACAGGGTCACATAACAGCATTTGGCAGATGGGCCAGCTTGAATGATACCACAAATTCAGGTAAAGCATCAAAAGAAGTCCCATTTGTCCAAGTTCTCTTAAATACTGAAACATCTCCATGACTAAAAATATAAGACCAAAAGGGGGAAAAGGGACAAAACAAAGCTTTTTTTTCTGAGGCCCAATACAGGCACAGAGTCCAATGGCGAGTATTCACAGCAGACTGCATTTGTTGCTCTTCTTTCCCCTGCGTGCCTGCAACGCCGCTCTAGTGGCCATTTCAAACACCTCCCGAACGCCATCTTTTGTTTTGGCTGAGCACTCCATATAACCAAATGCTCCAATCCGATTGGCCATGTCTCTCCCTTCCTCTGCCTTAACAGGCTCCTATTGGACAGTCAACACAAAATATGCTGTCAGTACAAAATATCTGTGCCTTGATTTTGTCTATACCAATGGTAAAAATGATCAAATACTGTACATGTTTCTTTATTGAAACAAGGAAAACTAACAACTAATTAACTTAAAAACATCCAGTAGAAGAGTGACAGTAAACATGTATTTCCTGTGCAAATACTCTGTATATGTTTACCTGCTTCATCTTGGTCAGCTCCCTGCGTGTGTGTTCATCATTCCGCAGGTCCTTTTTGTTGCCGACAAGGATGATGGGAATGTTTGGGCAAAAGTGTTTCACCTCGGGTGTCCACTTCTCTGGAATATTCTCTACACAGAGGTCAAAGATCAAAGGTCAATTCTGGAGTTTTAACACCGACTGGAAGTCAGCTTCATTAGAAAATGGGAAAGAAGGTATAATTTGAGCATTTACATATAAGAAAGGTACATAAACAAAAGACCAAAGAGAGTATCTTTACCTAAACTGTCAGGACTATCAATAGAGAAGCACATAAGAATGACATCAGTGTCTGGGTACGAAAGAGGACGGAGCCTATCGTAGTCCTCCTGTCCTGCGGTATCCCAAAGAGCAAGTTCCACCTATTGGACAAAGAGACAGACTGAGCTCAAACATCCCAAACCATTAAAATGGACTTGCACTGCAAAAAGGACAGATGGAGGTGCCATCAGTATGTTAAGCTAAATAAGGAAAGTGAATCAGGTCAATATTTTCACATTAAAGCCACTTCCAAGAGCTCCAACTGACAGGCAAATACTTATTTAGCCTATTAAACTAGGTTTTAGGTTTACTAGGTTTACTTGAACACATGGTCCTCCAATAGCCAATAATTTGACCTTAAATGAGCCAAACTTTGAGAATCTGCATTTAACAACCCATTGTTTTTTTTAAACGGCATAAAATGACCTCAGTGAGTGAAACAATTACAAACAGCAGGAACAATGATATTTATGCACATTGTATTTCTCAAGTGTGTTTTGCTCACCTGTTTGCTGTCAACCTCAATGTCGGCGACATAGTTCTCAAACACCGTGGGGACATAGACTTCGGGAAACTGGTCTTTACTGAACACAATAAGCAAACAGGTTTTACCGCACGCTCCATCTCCTACAATCACCAGCTTCTTGCGAATTGCTGCCATACCTACAAAAGACACACAAACACGGTTAAATACTGCAGCATTACGCTGGCAGTCATCTTTGCAGCAGCAACTGTAATAATCGTAATAAATTCATTTTTCAATGTCACTTCCTGCAGAATAAAAACTATAACATGAACGATGCCATTCGTGGTAGTCCTCTACCATTATAAAGTCCTATAAATACACACCAACCCATCCCTCAGGCCCAGTAATCAAAGCCACACAGGGTTCAGAGACTTCAGAGTCCTCAGTTGGCTCATCACAGCCAACGGTGACATCCGACAAGCCTTCACCAGAGTAATTTCAACATGACTACTGCAGAACCAACCCATCCGATCGCATCAGAATGACGCGACACTTCATTTTCTGATCCAGAACAGCCATTTAGATCTGGAAGTGTCTGTTAACTGGGCCAGATGTCTTTGAAGTGCAAGCTGCACCCCAGTGGCCAAGATAAAGCTGGCAGCTACAGAACAGAGTCCACATTATTGATGAACAGGCCCGTGGTGATGAGAGAAGCTCAGATGGACAGTAGATTAAACACTGACACACAGACAGAGCAGCAAAGCTGAAGATCAAAGTCTAAAAACCAGCAGAAGAGACAAAGCCTCAGCACTAAATATCAACTGTTGGTTCTGTCTTCCATTTGACCCACTACATTAAAGGGGTCATATGATGCTGCTAAAAAGAACATTATTTTGTGTATTTGGTGTAATGAAATGTGTTTATGCGGTTTAAAGTAAAAAAAACACATTATTTTCCATTACTGTACATTATTGTTTCTCCTCTATGCCCCGTCTAACGCGTTGTGATTGGCCGAATACCTCAAGCGTGAGACGGAAATGTTACACCCCTCACATACTGTTGATGCCGTGTCCCGGCTGGAGCGACGAGGCAAAAACATTAAAACCCATTACAAACGAGGCATTTGTTGCATCCAGTGGGGACATAATTACTGATTATAATGACTTATACGGTCTTGCATCGCGCCGCGTAAACATAAAACTCTGTCTGCATTTGACAGCGCAAAGTTGTTGTATTTCCTCAGCAACCAGCACTGATCAGCTCCAGGCATGACGAAGCAGATATCGTCCTCTTTTGGAAGACCAAACAAAGTAGTTTCGCTTTCACAACGAAGCACACAGCGTCTTCACGACATGGCTGCAGTGTCAACAAAACTACAGTGAGACTAAAAGTTACGCCTTCTTTCTTTGCGTGAACATTTGGGTGGCTTTATGCAAATCTTCCCATATAGTGAAGTAGATATGTGGGGGCGTGTTAGAACGAGCCGTTTTAGGTAGGTGTGGCTGACTCTGAACTTTTATAAAGAATATCTCTTTGGATTTGAGACTTTAGTCTTTGCAACTTTACAGATCTTCTTTGAGCTTGTAGAGCTTGTAACACTCCAAAGAGAAAGGAAAAATTGAAATCGCATCATATGACCCCTTTAAAATGTACATAGTTGTGGTATATTCTCACCCCAACTTCATATCTACCCAGAAGGAGACACAATGTGTGCATTATTATGAGATGCTGTGCAGGCTGCGGTCCTGGGTAACAGACACGAATACTCTACACCTGAAGATGAATCTGATGTTTATCAGCACCTCCTAAACTATTATTCTCATATCCTCATGGAAGTCAACAAGTCAAACTTCATTGGGTTGCCTGTGGGCACATGATTTTTGGGACCTCCTGGTAACTGCATGGCAACAGTAAGGTTAGTGAATTATTCAAAGTGTTACAGATTAGTCTGGATGGCACCTGTTGGCTCAATGAAACTTAATTCATGAAACAAGAACTTTCAGTATAAAAAGTCTGTAAAATCACTTGACACGAATATTCATATTGCTTTATGAAAGATTTACCCTGAAATGTCTTCTGCTCATGTTGTCGTGGAAATTGTAAATAAGGCCCAATGGGAATTTCAAACCACTATAGGGGATTATAGACCCATATTAATAGGAACATTACTCACTATGATTTCTAACAGTCACTGGGAAAATTTCATGCATCAAAACAAACGACTGTTACTATATCATAGCTAACTGAAAAAAAATTATGCTTGGGTCATTGTGTCTGACTGCCTGTACTGTTGTTTCCAATAAAAAAAAAAAAAAAAACATGTTTGTATGACATATTTTACATAAACATCTCACCTGAACACAGCTAAACACAGTTTAAGACTGAACTAAAGCAAATCATGGTAAATTATCAGAATAAAAAGATAAAGTTCTTTGTGCTACCCAATAAAACAACGCCAAAGATGAAACTTATACATTTCAAATGTTCAATAATCAGATAAATCACAGGTGTTAATAAAACATACACCAATTTACATTAATCACAGTTTATGAATCCTATGCTTATTTTAGATTTTTAATCGTATTAATTTAAATAAATATTGAAAATCACTTAAGAACAATGAAAGTTATAGGTAAATAAAATCAATAATCCTCCAGTTACGTCTAAATCTGAGATTATGCGCGTGTCTGGGTCGAGCTTTAGCTCTCCGCTTTAAACCAACAAAGACAAACAGCTTCACCACATATATAACTGTTACCGGTAATATCGAATATATTCACGACCAAACACTTGGGTGTAAACTTTACCGCTTTCCCCACACATTTCAAAGGTCTCTTCTATGTCTAAATACCTAGAAATATCTTTAAACGGTTTTAAAAATCTGGACGCCGAGGGTGAGCAGCTAACGTTACTCCCGGCCGGCGGTTGCTTGCGGAAGCGGCGAATGGTCAGTCGCTGAGCGCTTACCTTTCCACTATATCAAAAAAGTAGTTTTAAAACAACCATTCAGTGGCGAATTGAGCTTATAAAGTTTATAATAGCTGTATAAACACAGAGACGTGGAGAAAAAGTAATCTTACTTGTAGTTTAGATGGCTAGCTGTTTTGATTTATACCAACGGCGGAGCTCAGTCGAGTCGTCTCTTCTGTCCGATACAATAAACCGTTGACGAGCACGCGCAGAGCGCGGGCATTCAGAAGGGGGAAGGGATTGCGTGCACGAGCTCGAGCCACGCCTGCGCGAGCACGTTGAAGAGAGTTTATTTGGCGGTGGATGAATGAGTCGTTAAGAGAGATGGACCACCCTAACCACCTCAAGGCAGTTTTGTGTTATATATATGACGTTAAAAAAAACTAAACCTGTGTGTGTGTCGTTCATGGAACGAACGGGGACTATTATCTAACCAACGTCCAACTTTTTCCAGCCTAAAACAACCCCAAACCGTATAAGCATACTGTTGGATACAGTTTCTTTGGAAAAGGAAACTACAAATCAAAATAAATCACCTGAAATGTAATTAGCATCAAATATTATGTTTAAACTGAACATAGGACTTCCCTCAAGCTAGATGAGCTGGAATGAGGAAAAACGATGATGGCGCGTTTGTTGCGCCATCTATCGGCAAATGTGCTGCATTCCAATACCTTCAGTCCACAAACAAACCCACCCGTTAAAGGAATATTTAACCCAAAAATTAACATTTTCATTTACTCACCATCATGTTGTTCCAAACCTGTACGACTTTCTGTGGAACACAAAAAGAGATGCTAATCAGAACGACAGCCTCAGTCACCATCCACTTTTGTGGCATCTTTGTTGCCTAAACATCTCATTGCTGCAGTAAGTCAAATGGCTGAGTGGTTCAGGGTGAATAAATGACAGAATTGTGACTAGTTATATATATATGCGCGCGCGCGCACACACACACACACACTACCTTTATGTTTGTGGTCAGATTTTTTTTTAGTGTCATTTAGTGTTTCTGTTCTTTTGAATTTTGTATTCATCAAAGAATCCTGTAAAAATGTATTAGTTTCCACAAAAATATCAATCAGCACAACTGTTTTCAACACTAATAATAAGAAATGTTTCTTGAGCCACCAAATCAGCATATTGATCGACTGAATGATTTCTGAACATGTGACACTGAAGCAATGACTGCTAAAAATTCAGCTTTCCCATCACAGAAATTAATTACATTATAAAACATTCAAATAGAAGTTATTTTAACCAATATTACTGTATTTTTTTATCAATTAAATGCAGCCTTGCTGAGCATGAGACTCCTTTCAAAAACAAAAATCTTACAGACTCCAATGAATGATATATACCAGGGCTGTCCAAACTCGTTCCTGGAGGGCCGGTGTCCTGCAGAGTTTAGCGCCAACCCTAATTAAACACACCTGAACCAGCTAATCAAGCTCTTACTAGGCATAGAAACTTCCAGTCAGGTGTGTTGAGGCAAGTTGGGGCTAAACTCTGCAGGACACCGGCCCTCCAGGAACGAGTTTGGACAGCCCTGATATATACACACAGAGACATAAACACTAACAAATAATGTGAATAACAATGCACTCATCGACTTTTTTGAATCAATAAGGTCCTCTGGGACAGGTGTGCTCTTCATTCAGTTTTTATTACAGATGGAGAGAGATCAAAAAACTGGGTTGAAACCTGAATCAGAGAATAAGACTGTGAGAGAAGCATCAAGACAGACACCTAGGAACCACGAGAAAACAGATAAACAATTACTATTAAAAACGGCAAAGAAAAAAAGGTTATAAAATATTAGTGAAAATTTCAGGAACCCTAATCAAAAATCGTATGCAAAAAGAATATGCATTAAATTAAACTCAAGTCACATTGTGTAGACAATCTGTGTTTTATAAAAACAGGTCCATTATGCAAGCTCATAATTTAGAGTGCAGCACTCTTATCAAAGCCAACACAGCAAGACAGATCATTAAAGTACAGATGAGAAAAAGGGTACAACGGGACAGAATCAGATTCTGTATTGCTATTATCATTTCAAACTATTCTGAACAAAAAATCTTTGAAATGACTGTATTTAACTCTCTCCTCGCTATGCCTCCACCTATGAAATCAAAATGACTGAAAAGGAAACCAAAGAGCCGCATTATCAATGAGAGAACCTTAAATTAGAGATCATGCTTTCTTAGAAAAGTTCAAAATTTTGCATAAACATTCTTCATCTTTAGCAATCCCGCCCTTGATGTTCCAGACATTCTTTTGATGCTGTTAACATCAGTAAAAGCAAAAAATCACATCTTCTACTCAATAAATATAAGGAATCTTGCCTTTTTTCCTGATACAAGACCAAAAAAAAAAAGAGGCAACCCATAAACATTTGTAGAGTCTTCCATACATTTAAAAAACTGAATCCCATCAACCATTAGAGCATTTATTCAGAAATGGTACTTCCCAAAAAACCTTACACAAGAGGCCAGTGGGAGAGAAGATATTGTTTTTACAAAGCAAAAGTACTGGAACACTGCAGATGTTATGTGTCAGACTAGTCCAGGGGTTTTTGTAAAGCTGAAAAACTGAGCATGGATGTCTTTGTCATTTTGTTTGGGTAATGTGTTCATTTAGTGGCAACAAGTTTGTGTATGTAAAACATCCCAAGATAATGTGTGTGTGTGTGTGTGTGTGTGTGTGTGTGTGTGAGAGAGATGTCTCCAGTAGCATTTGTGACTGTAAGGGTAAAGTGAACTCTGCAGGACAAAAAGGAGGATTGTGTGTGTGTCTTTGTGTGTTATGAATGGGTCGGAGCATCTTCAAAACTTATGATGCTGGACTCCTGTTGTCCCGTAGGATTTTGTGTGGTGCTGGGTGCTGGTGGCAAAGTCTCTCGGCTTGAAAGGAGAGGAGTGTCCGTTCGCACCTCCTCATCTTCATCATCCTCCTCATCTTCCATGCTGGGCCAAGCTGACTGGTCTTCCACACGCTTCAGACGCTCATTCAGAGCTTTCAACGCCAGTTGCCTGTATGCACAATATGTCGGTACCATATTGGTCATTGGTCGATATTAAAGATTTGTTTTAAATGTACTAAACAATTTATTGAATAATGTTGAAAATAAAATATAAATATTAGATGAATAACATAAACTTAGAAAAATTGTTGAAGTACTAAAACTAACAATTAAATAAAAACAAATGAAAGCTAAATAGATAAATTAAAAAATAATAAAAATGAAAACAGCATGTGGCAAAATTACTAAAACAAAGTAAAATAATTGAAGTTTAAGTTTTAGTAATTTTGTTACATACTTTTATCTTTATATTTTAAGTTTTCATTTCACTTTAAATTATTTGGAAACTGAAAACATAAAAATAAAAGCTAATTCAAAATATTAATAAACACTATAATTGCATATCAATAATATTAAAGTAACACTGAGCTAAGCTAAAAAAAATAACCATATTTTTCATATTGTACATTAAAAAGTTGTGATTCCTAAATTCATTTGTAGCATTTAAAACAATTAATTTTAGTTTTTAATTAGAATAAATAGTACATAATATGAATATCAACCATACCATGAAAATAACTATCAGCTTATCAGAATTGCTCAGAATTAAATCAACGTACCTCCGTCTTTCTGCATCTTGTGGGTCTGTGCCTGGTAGGCTGATGGTGATGGAGGATGGAGCCCCGACATCGTATCGCTTCACCATCTTACGGCAAACTTTCATCTTCACAAGGGCAGCGTGCACAAGCCCAGCTGCAAAGCCAACTGCTGGCTGGAGCGCCTCTGGGAAGAACGAGGCGAAGGCAAAGTGGTCCGACATGTCTCCACGCCCCCTAGGGTGCCTCTGGTAGAAGCGCAGGTAAACCCACCCAGACAGAGCACCGTACCCGCATGCTGCTAGCGGAGCTGAAGTGTCCAGTAGCCCTGCTAGCCGCAGTACAGCTATTGCTAGCAAGGCTAGTGCCGGGGCGGCTTTCAAGCGTACTTGAGGAACTCGAAGCACTGTGGTATCACCTGCAGTCTGCTTCAGAGCTACAAGAACACCCCCCAGAAAAGCGGGTGTGCCATACACCCGAACGGCAAACAGGTAGTCCAGGTCAAAGGTCGCAGCATAGGTGAGAAGATAAGACAGTGCAGATAGGAGACCGGCTGCTACGTTTACCACGGCGAAGAAGATCAGCAGCTCCAGCGCTCCCCATAATGGCTCCAAAAGCCGTCCGGCAACCATCACAATAGCAATGTTCACCGCCATGCCGAGAATATGCTGCTCCACCACCGCATGGGTCAGAAGCGTCCAAATCCAGAAGTTTGGTGGGAAAAGGAAGCCAGGTGTGACGCCAAGCAGGTAAGGGGTGTTAGCAGCCCAGGAGAGCAGGTACAGCAGGATCACTGTGGCACATATGGACTTGACCACTACGCTCGTGCTCGCGAGTGCACTCAGAAAGTGCTGCCGTGCCACTGGCAGGTAACGGTTCATCCTGATGGATTCGAGTCCTCAGTTGTAAATGCTCCAGAAATGGCAAGCCTAAGAAATCAGCAGCTTGTGTCAAATATGAGGGATACAACTAGGAGATGACACCCTGACATCAACATGCAAGCAGTGTGACCTCATCAACAGAGGTTCTGCAACATAAGCAACTTTGGGATGGTGTCTTAGATGAAGATTGTGGAGAGAAAATGACAGTATTACTTCACACTGGTCTTACAGGTGATTGTAACACTTGTGGTGAGATAAACAGATCTTAACCTCTCTCAAAAAACTAAAAACTGTTGGTTTAAATAATATTGTTACCTAGTAAATAATACAAATAATCTGATCTTCCAGTATGCATACAAATGACTTTTAAATATAAAGCTTTAGTCAAGGTAACTTTCTTACTGAATAAGTAATTGACCTTACTGACAAAACATTATTTTGACTATCTACCTGCTCAGGTCTTTCTGTCTGCGAGTTGTTAATATATAATTCTTCACTTAACTGTTACGCGTTTCTATCAGAATCACCCGAGCTACTCTAACGTTACCTGTTTATCAGCACCGTCTGCTAACACTCCATAAACCTCACCTCCTCGATCTAAATGAACACATTTTCATGTCAGTTAGACAGTTTCATGTCTTATGTAAGTCTTTTAGTCTTAGTTCAGGCACTTGCCGTTTGTTTTATGGGTAAAATACGCGAAGAAAGGCGAGCTATGAACAGCTTTCTCTCCGGTGGCATGTCCTCTCAGACCGGCCTGGAGTCGCAGTTCAGTCCGGGGATTTCCTCTCACAACAGGCCTCCAGGTAGCAGGGTTGAAGCCAGTAAGCGTGAATCCGAAACAAACGTCCAAGCTTGTCTTTTTAATATCCTAACGTCGCCATTTCTTCTGAATTAAGCTTGTGTTTTGTTGTTTGAGAATGTGGCGTTTCCAGCAAAGCACAAACATCAGATTTGCAAACGTCACCGTCCAGCTTTGCGACTGGGCGTGTCGTTTACGGCATTGACTGCTGGGAAATAAATCCCCCCACTCCCACCTCCCCGTAGTAACCAGTTTATGCTACCAGTAGTATGTTTTTTAAATTCTAGAAATACAATAGTGACTGGTTGCTACAAGTTGATACATGTAGCCTAATTATTATTTTTCTGCTAGTCACAATCTACCACGCAGATTTCGCAACAGGTTCAAGTTGCGAAATCGAAGCTGCTTGGTTTGAAAGTGACTTCTGTGTGAGCGGTGTTTCAACGCTACACTACTACTGACAATAGGCAATGGACCTTTTTGACCGTGAACTTTTGCTAATGAGATCGCATTTTTTTACCATACATTTGCTAGTAATTATTATTCATCACACAATATTACTATGTTTTCTTTAGTTACCAGTAACTATTCAAATATTCCTAGTAGTGACTTGCTTCTATGAATAGAAACTGATTAAAATAGCGATGTAATTGTTTAACAATGCTATAGCACAAAAGAAAAAAGAAAAGGCTACTAATATCGAATGACCAAATTCTAGTAATTAAATTAATATTACTAATTATTATTGGAGTAAATATTAGTCTCTAATAAGTATTTACTACTGAAATTGAAAAAGATACTAATCAATATTGGATAACATAGCTAAAATGTAAAATATAAAAATAGATATTAGTTAGTTTTAAGCAATAACTACCTGTCAAATGACATGGCAAATTAAAAGCATTGTCCTATCTAGTCCACTAGGTGGCAGACAAAAGTCATCTCACACTGACTAGTATGAAGCTTCTTTTGAGCCCAGTCTAGTTGTGATGTACTGAAGTGATTAGAGATGCACCTATTGCAATTTTCTCAGCAGGTTCCGATTTCCAATTTTTTGTAAGTGTGACCTGCCGATACCGATTTTTGCCGATTCCGATTTTCTCTCTAACAACTATAATTGACAGTATATGCAAACAAAAATCTATGCTAATTACAATGCATAAAATTTACATAATAAAAGAAATTATTAAACATTACAATTCCCCCAATCTGGACTAAGTTACAGATGTTCTCTCACTTAAACAACTCTCAAAATAAAGTGCTCTGTGACTGGAAAGAGGCAGAAATAACAATGAACTGAAAATGAGTTGCTGTATGTAACAAAACAGATGTCATTTCCCACTATGTTTTTTTTTATGGTATTTTTTCCCCCTAACCTTTTTAATGTGTCATTGTTCACATCAAATTCTTACTTTGTTTCAATTAATTCAGTTAGAATAATAAGAGAGCTGTTATCATTCAAATGAAATCAGTATCAACAAACTCCATTTTTCCACTGCTGAGGAAACAGAAGCTGCATCTGAAGTGGCATTAGATGTATTTACACAGACTGTTTAATGACGCTGAGGTGCATAAATGCATTTACACAGCAACATTTCAAATGCACAAATAATTTTATAAGATTAATGTTTGACATATTTTTTAAACATACAAATAAATTTAGGGGAAAATGCTATTGTAACGAATGATACTTTTAAATATGATCAAACCACCAGTAGGTGGCGGCAAATGACTGTTTTAATGAGTGAGTCATTTAGTCATTAATTCAACCGATTCGTTCAAACGGCTGATTCATTCAGAAATGAGGCAAGTGACTGGGCTGTCAAAAAAAAATCGAATTTCGAATATTCTTCGAATTTAAAATAAAAATCCACATTCGAATGCAAAAACGTTGCATTAAGGAGGCAGCCTTATCAGTGGCGCATGAGATGCGATGATGATGTAAGTGTCATTGCATTTTAATGTTTTTCTTAGCCTACCCAGTTGAAGCCACTAGATGCGGCGCTGCTGCATTGTTAATTACAAATATTGCAGGAAGAGTTATCACAAAAACTCGTTCTATTTTGTTGTAGATCATTAAACCGTTACGCTGCCTCAGAAGCCTGTCCGAAATCAGTTTCATGAGGTGCCTTCGGGCAAAAACGCTGCCTGCAAAGTCATTGCCTTATACGGCAGCGAGGCAGCAAGTCAGCTGCCTAAGTTTTTGGATGCAGCCAAGAGCTGCATGTTTAGAAAGCCATGTAAAATGAATGCAAGTTCAACTGAAAAAAAAACATATCTCGAGACTTTATGGCGGGGGTTTTTCCCCATCCCACTGCAACTGGTGTTTTTAATTAGTAATATTTTGCTCGATGCGTCCTCTTGTGGCCTCAGGAGAGAATCCAAAAGCTTTTCTTCATAATATTTTGATAATATTTAAGTACAGAATTCGAATTTAGTTTTTCAGCCATTTTGACAGCCCTAGTGACTGTCTTTATGAATGGGCCACTGAATCATTGACTCACTCGATTAATTCAAAAACGTGGATTCATTCAGTAAGGAAACACCGCTGTGTTGCTCGGAGACACAACAGTCTGCTGTGGCTTTGATTGGAACTATTTTTGTCAGCGAAATTGAGCAAAAACAGTCAATATTTTGTCTAAAATCTAAGTCACTTAATTTTAATTTCTTGTTTATTGAATTACTATTGTATAAAATCAGTGTCACATTGCAATCGTGTTGATATTGATATTCGTGGAAACATCCTGGTCGTGTAATGTGCTTACCTAAATCATATTTTATAAATATCTTTTTTTTTCTACAGCAGTATGCATCTATATAACTTTCTGTGAGTGCTGTTGCACTCATTTGTTTTGATTTCTGCACAGTCTCTCATCTGGCACGACATAAATACATTATCAGTCGCCGTTTACACTGAATGCAATTAAAATCAGAATCATTCTCGCGCAAAACGACATGTTTACATGCGGATATGAGCGTAAGTGTGACGTCAAAACGGACCGGCTCGGAAAAAACATATCTCGAGACTTTATGGCGGGGGTTTTTCCCCATCCCACTGCAACTGGTGTTTTTAATTGAAAAATGTACTCTGTGTGATTGGCTTTCGGCCCTTTGTATTAAACTATGCATAGGCCTACATACATGATGCTGTTTTGTTTATAGTTGTTTAAGCAACTTAATTAATTATAATTTGTTTATAAACATTATTTTAAACATTATGCACATTTTTCACAGATAGTCATGTTACCTTATGCTTTGAAGAAACGTGCATTAGTAATATTTTGCTCGATGCGTCCTCTTGTGGCCTCAGGAGAGAATCCAAAAGCTTTTCTTCATAATATTTTGATAATATTTAAGTACAGAATTCGAATTTAGTTTTTCAGCCATTTTGACAGCCCTAGTGACTGTCTTTATGAATGGGCCACTGAATCATTGACTCACTCGATTAATTCAAAAACGTGGATTCATTCAGTAAGGAAACACCGCTGTGTTGCTCGGAGACACAACAGTCTGCTGTGGCTTTGATTGGAACTATTTTTGTCAGCGAAATTGAGCAAAAACAGTCAATATTTTGTCTAAAATCTAAAGTCACTTAATTTTAACTTCTTGTTTATTGAATTACTATTGTATAAAATCAGTGTCACATTGCAATCGTGTTGATATTGATATTCGTGGAAACATCCTGGTCGTGTAATGTGCTTACCTAAATCATATTTTATAAATATCTTTTTTTTTCTACAGCAGTATGCATCTATATAACTTTCTGTGAGTGCTGTTGCACTCATTTGTTTTGATTTCTGCACAGTCTCTCATCTGGCACGACATAAATACATTATCAGTCGCAGTTTACACTGAATGCAATTAAAATCAGAATCATTCTCGCGCAAAACGACATGTTTACATGCGGATATGAGCGTAAGTGTGACGTCAAAACGGACCGGCTCGGATTCGGCAGACTGACCGGCCGGTCACCGGTCCGGGCCGATCATGGGAAAAATCGGCTAATTCCGGTCCCAGGCCGGTCGATCGGTGCATCTCTAGAAGTGATCACAAATATCTTACATTCCGTCAGTCAGAAAAGGTTATGCAGTTATACAGAGGGTGTGACCTCAGTTGTGTAGAACACCATGTACAAAAAGGTCTCGGCTGCTCCTTCACCTGTTCTCACCTGTACATCTGGGGTCTTGCGTACCCGCTGGGATGCTGACAGGTGTTGTTGCACATGTTGTGTACTCACAGGTAGGTAGAGCAGACAGTGATATTTAAGCCAGCAAGGATAACATGTTCTCACCTTCTCACACAAAAAACAATTCCTGACGTCTACAAAGATTTAGCTCTTCCACAAATTCAGTATGGTTTTAATTTCAACGGTTTATTGGTTTACTGAAGGCCATCACCAGCTACAAGACCCCATCCCCCAGCACTGAGTGTTTCTCAGCTTGTACTCAAGATCTGTGAAGAGGATGTATGCAAAGTCGTCAGGAAGCAGAAGATAAGGAAAGCCAAAGGCCCAGATGGTGTCTCTCCAGCCTGCCTCAAAGCCTGTGCTGTCCAGCTCTCATCCATCTTCACATTGATCTTCAACAGATCCCTGGAACTTTGTGAAAACCCCTCCTGCTTTAAACGCTCCACCATCATCCCTTTACCCAAGAAACCAAAAATCACAGGACTTAATGACTACAGACCTGTTGCTGTCTGGTGCAGTCACAACAACCTGGAGCTTAACACACTCAAAACTGTGGAGATGATAGTGGACTTCAGGAGGAAGCCCCTGCACTCCCCCAACTCACCATCATGGACAGCTCTGTGGCTGCAGCGGAGTCATTCAAGTTTCTGGGAACCACCATCTCTCAGGACCTGAAGTGGGACATTCACATCGACTCCATTGTGAAAAAGGCCCAGCAGAGGTTGTACTTTCTTCGCCAGCTGAGGAAGTTCAACCTGCCACAGGAGCTGCTGACACAGTTCTACTAGGCCATCATTGAATCCTTCCTCTGCACTTCTTTAACTGTCTGGTTCAGCTCAGCTACCAAATCAGAACTTAGAAGATTGCAGCGGATAGTCCGGACTGCTGAGCAAATCACTGGCACAACACTGCCCACTCTCCAAGAACTGCACTCATCCAGAGTGAGTAAAAGAGCTGGTAAAATCATTCTGGACCCCTCACACCCAGCACACTTCATCTTTGAACTGTTGCCGGCTGGCCGGC